ATCTCCATAGTGTATTGAGACGTCTTGTTTCCCTTATCACTCTATTGGCAAAAGAGATGGAAACAGAGAAGATTCTGAAAATAGAAGTAGCAAACAGCAATGAAGCTGCCCGGAAATGCTTAGAAGAAAACGAAAAATTGCAACTGGTATATTTCCTGGCTCATCGGTTGTTTTTCCCTGTATTAATTGCCCATCTCTTTCATATCAGTTTCATTTGTAGACTCCCCTACCATGGCCTTTTTTTCTTATATTTCTTAGAAGACGTTACAAGACATAATAGCACTTGGAACAATAGCACTTAGACTTAAATACCGCTTCACAGTGCTTTATAGCCCTCTCTAAGTAATTTACAGAGTCAGCGTCTTGCCCCCAACAATCTGGGACCTCATTTTACTGACCTCGGAAGGATGGATATTCAAAATTAGCATAGAAATCAAAATCAAAATTAGACATTTATGTAACGTGCCAGCTTTGGCTAAAGGCATTACCTCCAGTGTCACGGTTTGGTTAACAAAGTTAATTACTTAATCTAAAGGTATCTCCAAGGTAACCAAATGCCTCCTCCCACTCTCCGACCAAATGTGAATAGGGGCAGGATTATAGAAAATGTGAAACAGAGAACTGATACATTTTCCCCCTCCTTTTGGCAGACATTGAGAGAAGCTAAACATTCTACCGGTGAACATTTGTGTTTGATAACAAATGAGAAGCTAACCGTAGAAGTGGATCAGTTAAAAACAGCATTAAAGGCAACTTCAGAAGGTATTTTTTTAAAAATTGCTAAATATATTTTGCATAGAATCACAGATGCAAAACATTTTGTTCCCTGTCGTGTAGGATGCAAAATACACTTGCTCCCTCCAATGGAGCCAATAGGTTGCTACCTACTTCTGTTATTTTAACCAGGATATGCACAGCTATAGCTAAAAGAAGGATTGTAACAGGCCTTTAGTGTGGGTTAGTAAAGCCTCTTTGGTTTGTGTAGGCGGTATTTATTTTTTTCATTCCAGTTCTGTTTCTGTCATCTTGATATCTTTTATAAGCCGTCCTCAATTTACAGCTATTCATTTGAAGTCATGACAGTAATGGTGATTGCATTGGTCCTTGAAGTTCTTGCTGTCCCAATATCCACCCGGTCACATGATTACAATCTGGGAACTTGGCAACCGGCTCACACCTAAAACCACGGTCTTATAATCACCATTTGCTCCTTTCCCTGCTAGCTTCTCCAGAAAATCAATGGGGATGCCGGCAGGGAAGGTCAAAAGTCATTAGGATAAGTCTCCCTGGCCCATGCCCACTTACCCAACCTCTTTGCACTTGCACCACCTGTGCAACCCCACACACCCTCCCCTCCCCAGGCCTTGCCATCCTGGCCACTCGCACAGCCCCACCCTGAGCCCAGTCTTTCTTCCCTTCCAATCTCCCTGAGCCTCACATCTCTCTGCAACTTGTGCGTCCTCGAGCATCCTTCCCAAGTCTTGTCATGTCACTCTCATGCACACCCACATATCCTCCACAAGCCTTTCCATGCCCCTTTATGGACCCTTATGCATCTTTCTTGAACCTCACCACACTCCCCTGCCACTTAAACACTCCTGTGCATCCTCCCCGAGACTTGCTGAGCCACTCTCGCGCATCCTTATGCACCCTCCCTGAGAATTGCCACAACTCCTGCACATCACGTTGCTCCTTCCCCCAGTGAGCAGAAGCCACCCCAAGCCTTGTTTCACTCACATTGCTCCAGCCGTCTGTGCCCCCCTATTCCCTCCTAACCCATCTAGCAGCAGCTGCTTAACCTAATTATCAGCCTTCTTGCAAGCTTCTTCAGACTTGCGATTTCCTGCTGGCTTCCCCAGGGTAGTGGGAAATTGGCAGGAAGTCGGAAGGAGATCCTCTTCTAACAATGGCTGAGATTCAGTTAACAATGGCAAGTGGGATTGGAGAGGTTACCATTGCTGAGCTGTGCCCTTGTGATTTACAACTGCATCACTTGGCAATGGAGCTACTGGTCCCAATTTCTATTGTAACTCAAGGATTCTTTCTGGGTTTTTTTTTCCCCAATGCTTTTATTTGTGAGACACCCAGAGTCATTGGGATTCAGGTGGCATACATATGCAATAAATAGATTTTGGCAAGCAGATAGAAGTCCTAAGATGTAATATTAAAACACAGTTACTTAGCTGGTGAGAACTTTAGAAGCTACTTCTCAATAAAGGACTGCACAGCTGGTTACAGTTGTGCTTTGAAAAAATTGCAAAACTAACTGCAGAAATATAGAGAATGTATAGATCAGGACCATATTCTGGTATGATCTGTTTTGCAATCAATAGGATACCTAGCAATTATCTGTGTTTGCTTCAAGAGAATCAAAACCAAGAGTATGATAACACAGTTCTTTTATTAACTTCCTTGTTCAATCTAAGTTTTCTTAATAAAATAGCGCTACGATATAGACAGAATTTTCCTGACTCTGCGTGCGCTTTCTGGATCTAGCAAGATTTATGAAACTTCTTGGGTGTTTACTGGCTGAAATGAATAATATTGCTTGACCTTGTGAAGGTCAGGCATCTAAAATGTATTAAATCTTTGGTTACACGGAGAACATGATGTTTTTTGTAGGCAAACATCAGTCTTCAAATTAAATCTCAAAACAATTGTCAAAAGTCAGTATAACTATCAAATAGAATACAGTCTTAAGCTGGGAGAGTTTTCCAAACATTAGCATTTCAAACACCAGCCAACGAAACAAGAATCCTGTAAAAAGAATTAACTCTGAAATATGAGCATTGAATGTGGAGCTAACTATAGCAAAAGCTGTTTTTTTTTTCCAGATATCGCTCTTGATTGTAAATTAGGTTCTTGAGAATTAGACAGAGACATTTTTCCTTCAGCATTTTATGATCTACTTGTAAATAATAAAGATTATAGGTTTGTTTTATGAGTATAATTCTATAGATCTAATATCTATTCATTATCTAAGTCTCTTCAATACTAATATATTAGAACTGCATAGCAAAGAGCTACCTGTGTGCTTGAAAAAATAAATTTCTGTTATGGAAGGTTATGGAAAAATAACTAAAACGGGACATGCAATATATAACATCTTGAACTTTTGGAAAGGGGGGCATATAATATTAATAAATATATATCTCAAATTCAATTTTAATTTGAATGTTGAATATATCTGTCAGTTTTCCTCCTTGTGCAGGATGGGAATAATATTAATCATAAAACATGCAAAGTATTACTGACAAATGTATGCATTAGAACTGCTTAGCACCAGTACTAATTATATTCATTTTCACAGATGTATGTGTGCAACTTACAAAGTTTTGATCACGCACCTCTGTATGTATAGAAAGATGATAAGATTTGGAACGAGGAAGGGAAAGTAAAGTTTACACAATGTTTGGTAGCTCTTATAAACAGACATGGCTTGTATACAAAATAAACACGATAAGAACATTGTTCTTGAGATGAACTTCTTCCTATACAGTTTCGTGTGGTGGTTTAGATAGTTATGAAACAATTTAATGTACAACATTATGAAACCAAAAAAAAATTATAGTCAAAATCTGAAAATAATTTTAGAAAATTTAAAAGAAAATTATGCATAATGCCTTGAGTTTGTAAGTGCTATTTTTAGTTAGGCAGGTGTCATATTTGACATTTTAACTTAGCCCAGGCATGGAAATTAAAAGGTTTATTTTTTTACCTTTCTAAATATTGAACAGTGTTATTAATTTAATCCTCTAAGACACAAAATGATTAGATTAGATTAGATTAGAATGTATAATTGAAACAGTAGTTTAAAAGGAGGTTAAACTACAGGTAGTCCTTGACTTTAAAAAGTTCCCTTAGTGACCATTCACACTTATGACCATTGCAGCATCCCCATGGTCATGTGATTTACATTTGGATGCTTGAACTGACTCACATTTATGATTGTTGCATGTTTTGGGGTCATGTGATCATCATTTTCCAAACTTCTGGCTTCACAACATGTAGTGAGGAAAGTTGTAAAATGGGACAAAACTCAATTAGCAAATTTCTCACTTAGCAACATAAATTTTGGGCTCAATTGTGGTCATAAGTTGAGAACTACCTATATTGTGCAAGTCCCAAAAACAAACTGATGAAAAATCTTGACACATAACTCATTAGGTTTAACTGGGGTTGAAAAGAAGAAAGTCTAGATAATTGATGTGGCAATATGAGAAGAGAATGGAATGAGAGACTGAATTGGAGAACATCACAAAAGTATCACCTTCTGAAAATCAAAGCTGAAAAATGATCGCATAATGGAGCTGTTCTTGTCTCTGTGGTTATCAGCACACTGGGTGCCACACCCAAAAAATTCCAATAGTATTACTGGACATGAATAAAATATCCATCTCTCAATTACAAAAGGCCACATCGCTTTGAATTTCAGTGGTTTGGTTGGTCTTGTGGCTGTTTGCTGGGGGGGGAAGCTAGTAGAAATTGTATTTGAAAAGAAGAGTGGCAGTAACTTTTTTAAAAAAAAATGTTTATTGCAATATTAAAGCCATCATAAACTGAGGCTACCGTCCATGTAGTTTGTATAGGATGCTAGCCCACTTCCAAACATGATGTGTACCAGTCACAGCCCAAAGTTAAAGATTTTTTTAATGTACTGAACTTTGACATTCTTCTACTTAGAAGACCTCACCCATATTGCCATAAGTATATTTTTGTCAAAACATAATAATGTCGTGGATGTGCAACTATCCCTAGTTATCTTGGTTATGTTTAGAGATAGTATTGTTTTTAGTTACAACCGAAGGGTTTTGCCTGTCCTTCTTAAAGCATACAGTAATTCAGTTACTGTAAAATCAAGTTACCAAAAATAATCTAATACTATGGCATTTTCATTAGCATAAAAAAATTGAATAGTAAATCATCGTAAAATTAATATCTTCCTGTGGCAATTAAACTCTTATGTAATGAATCTTTATTAACAGAAATTTGAATATAACAGATGTTTTCTTCCATAACCAAATAACTGACAGTCACTCTCTGCAAACACCCGTGTACATTTAAAATTCTCAGACACTTGTTACTTTCAGTTCCTCATTTCCCATCATCTCACTCTTCCTGCTCTAAATATATCCATATCAAGGAGAAGATTCAGCACAAGTCAGCACATTTGAAAATATTAGTCTGGTACATTTTGCAATTTTGCTAGTTTAAAACTTTGTTTCAGTGAGGCCTGCAAGCTGATTCTTAGGCCTATTACCTGAAATTTTTCAATGAATGTTTTCTCCCCTCACAAATTGCTCTGACTTTTCAGGTAAAATGCATTATTTATGAAATGTACTTTGTTTATTTTAGAGCAGTTAAATTATTCAAATTTCAGTTCACCTTTTGCCATCTGTCTGAAAGTCCTTGCCAGTTTTTTCCTCATTTTAAAAATATAATTTTATTTTTGGGAATGATATTCTTCAGGGGACAGAGATATTAATAAAAATGCAGTGATATGTACTGAATAATATCATGTCTATGTCTTACAGCTCTCTTCATAACAAGAAATGAAATTGCTGCTGCTAAGAAGCACTCTGAAGAACTTAAAAAAGAATATGAGCTCCTTGTAAAAGAACATGAAAAACTACAGGTAGGGGGCAGAGGCATCTAATTTGTTCAAGCAGAATTTTTCAAATCCAGATAAACGACCTTGTGTCTTATGCAAGGCAACATTCATAAATACATTTTTAATTCAAGATACAGTACTGTTCCAGAATAACAGGAATTCCTTCATGTATTTAAAATACTTTGTTGGAATGAAGCTTATTTTCTTTTAAACAATTAACTTCATTAATATTTTAGTATTTGGTATTCCTAGCATGGCAATGTGGAGGAGAAGGAAAAAGCGACAATTCTCAGAGCTACTGAATTTGCTTTCTAAAAAAACACAGGTTAAAAGAAATATTGGATTCAGTGCAGTGTGAAATACAGCCATGAAAAATTCTTCTTGCCAATTAGCTAAAACCCTTTTGAGATAGGGAAAATTCATCCATAGTGAATTTTCATATTTGAATTATGATTTATGTGCTAAGATTTTACCTCTGAGGGACAAGTTTTACTTTCAGTGTATTTTGGCAGCTTTTCTCCATCTCTGATTATTCCGAGTGATTTTGCAATGAAAATCAACTATATAATAATTATACTAATTTTTTTCATACATCTGTTTTACTTCACAGCAACAAGCGGGGGCTTCTAGTAAGAAAGCTCTTTAAAGAAGGACAAGGACGTGCACAGCAACCTGAATTGTTTATTTGTTCAGTTTTTACTTTACAGGTATATATGGAAAAGCTTTTGGGTTTTTAAAAAAAAAAATAGATTTACTGCATTCATTGCTGAAATATCAAAATTTAACAATTACCTAGACCTTTCTCATTTTGCAGCAATGTTTTTGCCAAATCTACGTTAGCCATGCCAAAAAGTGCAGTGATTCCTTGTTGCAAACTCTGTTTGGTTACAAAATACTGATGAGTTCATACAGTGGATTACTGTTCAAACACCACGTCTACATCTCGTTGGGTGCAAGGAACTATAAATACGTTTACACCCTTAAGTGGTACAATGAATGCCAATAGGTATTATTTTTTTAATCCAACAAGGATGATATAAATCATTTTAAAGAATTCTTACTGGCTACTCTGATATTTTTTTAAAGGTTGATACAAAGTATTGTTCTGATGTGGAAATTGCTTTATACATTACTTCAAGCATAAAATTAAGGTGAATTAAATCCACTTTGCTAGAAATGATCAGGAACGTCATCAAATTTGGTCAGTATAAGAATTAGCATAGTGACGTTATCTAACCATACGGGTGAAATTAGACAATCGGTAGAAATAATGAAATTGGTTCAAAGCAGCCTTTCTGAGCCAGATGTTTTGAGACTGCTATTCTTAAAATTACCAGCTGATTTCCTCATTTGGGGAATTCCTGCCCAACCACATCTAGTGAATGTCATACCGGAGAAGGATTGTGTACTTTATTTTTATATATTGAAGGAGATCTATAAATTTAGTTCAAGTCTGTAATTTTTTCACTTAACATTTGTTCAAGAGTTTGCATAGGTATTTGCCAGGATCTCATGTTCCACTTTTTGTGGGGAGGGAAATTAAGCAGTGTTTACTAAGTTGCCTTTTCTGTGATTAATTGCACTGTACTTGCGCTGGATTGGATTCCGACGTGTTTCTCCGGAGGATACAACAGGTTTTAGGTAAAAGGGGCTCTTCTGATGCTACACGAGAAGATCTCTTAACCGTCCTGAGCAACTTTACAAAGAGAATTTGCAATTGATGAAAATTGTTTTACCATTTGCTTCCGCTATCACAGGGAAACGTTGCTGAATACAGACCTGAAGGCAGCTTACTGCTTTCATTATTCCCATTTGAATGGGTTGCCTTTTCCACATTTGTGTCACTATTTTACTTGAATGTTTGTTTCTTAATAAAGAAATGTTTAAGCTTTGTTTGGTCTTCATAAAGGAACAATTCTTGTAACTCGGACATAATTACACTCGAAATGAGTTGGACAAAATTAGTTGGATACAGGGTTCAAGACAGTACATTTGCCTGGAATAGACATGTCAAAAACATGAAATAATGTATTTTAAAGTAAAACAAATATTTAGAGCTTTTTTTCAGTACCAATAGGCAGAAGTATTTTGAGACTCCCAAGCATTGATTCCTACTTGTCTGTGCAATTTATAGTAGTTGCAGACACTTCATCTCACTGTCTCAGAGGATCTTGACTGGGTCAGAAACAAAGTTTTTAAGAAATACAAAGTTTTTGTATAATGTACAGTGAAGACATTTTAAAAGCTCTCTTTTAAAGATTACATTTTAGGGTAACCCTCACTGTAAATAGGTTTGTTGCTGAATATTGATATGACATGCTGTAAAGGAACCGACTGAAAGGGGTGGGGAAAAAATACTCTGCTAATTGAGAATATACAATTGGTAGCAGGATGTCCAATCTCTTCTTCATTGTGATAGGAACCGATTAGAGTTTCCAAAACTTAGTTTGTCTCTTAAGCTTTAAGAAAATAATTTTGATTTTTTTTGTTGTTGCATCACATCCTGTAGTGGTAAATTGTGTATTAAGCAGGGATGCTAAAAAGCTGAAGATGGACAATACATTGAATAAGAAAAATAAAGTTATATTCTTCTGTCTCCATGTTATGAGATAAATTGCATTTCATGGAAGTTATGAACATTATCCATTCTGCCCTTTGAATTAATCTAGTACAGAAGATTTCTCCTCTTTGGAAAATGTAGTCAAAAATGGAGAAATCTGCAAAATTCTTTCAGCAGATGTTAAGATACACATCTCTTGACATGACAATGCTAACTAAGCTTATCATTTTTCTGGATGCTTATTTTTGAAGATACTATACTTCATGCTATACTATTTGGAGGGGGATTTCTCCCTATAGGAAGGGCAACTCTCCAGAGTATAAGGCCCGATTAAATAAACAGAAAAGGCACAAACAACAACTATTGGAGAAATTCTGGTGCAACATCACACACACAATCTATCCATCCATGATCTATCTACATTATCTTATCTACCAGCTATCTATCTTATGTATCTTGTCCGTTGGTCTATCATAAAATAGTAATGGTCCTTGCAGTGGGAAGTATAAACTAGCATGAACATATTGCAAATTAATTGTCATGAATGATCACCCATAAATTGAAAATTGCTAAAGGGAACAACAACAACAATAAATTGGCAGTAGCTTTTCCATACAGTGTACACTTAGTAAAACAGCTCTGGTATAATGCCCTGGTTCTGATGGCTAACAACTGCTCATGTTGGTCTCGCGTTACTCTACAAGCATCTAAAATATTTGGGATTACATAGTTGTTTTGAAGAGGCGAGAGACACAAAGGACCTGTATGGATTTTGGCAGTGAACAAGAGTCCCATTATATGGCTCGTTCGGTTTAGCCAGACAGTAGCCCGGCCAGGTGTTTTCACCGTCGTGCACAAAGACTTACCTGTGCTCAATTCTTTAGTAATTAAATATTGTGGAAGCCTCTCCATAAAAGATGGAGAACGGTAAAGTTAGGTCCCAGGAAAGCTTTCTGAGAATGTAGTAAGCTTTCAAGGAACTAGTTAGCAGTTTCCGTTCCATTCATGTTCAAAACGACTGAAAGAACAGCCTCAAAACAAACAAGGGGAAATTGGATGAAATGCAGTGTTGCAGTATCAGGAAAACGACACACTCTTGGCTGTAACATTGATTTAGGAGGCAGCCAAAGGTTTAATTCTTGTATACTCTGACATTTTTTCACTTTGGTTTTGGCTACGCCTACCTGCATTGTTTCAAGACTTTTTGCAAGTGTATGAGATTGAATACAGGTCCGCCCTTAAGTTACAATGATTCATTTAGTGACTGTTACAATGGCCCGGCGGGGGTGACAATTTTTCACACTTAACAACCATTACAGCATGCCCCTGGTTACATGATCAAAATTAAAAACGCTTGGCACCTGACTCATATTTATGACGGTCGCAGTGTCCTGGGGTCATGCCATCACCCTTTTGCGACTTTCTGACCAGCAAAATCAATGGGGAAGGCAGATTCACTGAACAACCATGTAACTAAATTAACAACTGCAGTGGTTCACTTAACAACTGCGGCAAGAAAGGTGGTAAAATGGGACAAAACTCACTTAAATGTCTGACAGCAACAAATTCGGGGCTCAATTGTGTTCGTAAGTCGAGGATTACCTATATCTGCTTTCCTGCTCTTGTGGTCTATCCCTTAGTTTCATGTTATAATGCTACTTTTAAGATCCGAACTAGTGTTTCCCAGCCTTGGGAAGGTTAAGTTAGGTGGACTTCAGCTCCCAGAGTTCCCCAGCCGGCGTGAGGAATTCTGGGAATTGAAGTCCACCCAGTTTAAATTACCAAAGCTGAGGGACAATGATCTGGATCACTGGTCTAGGATTTCATCTCACTCCCAATGCTGTTTAATATGAGGGGTCCTTGATGCTCTCCGAGCTCGCTTGTTTTCTTGCAGACGTTTCATTACCCAACTAGGTAACATCACCAGTGCTACCGGTAGTAAGGAGTGAGGTTTGAGGTTCTATGAGGAAAAAAGAGAAAAGTGCGGGAAAGAAAAGGGGAAAAAAAAAATAATAAAAGGCATTGACTTCCGATTCCCTTCAGTGCAGTAGAATAAGGCATTAACATGAAAACCTCAACTTTTTACTTTGACATAATAGTTTAAACTAGCCATTTCTATAACAACAAATCTATCTCGTTGGTAAAACCCAAAATCAAAGTTTCGGTTTTTTTCTACCTCAAGCACAAAATCCAGAAGCGGGTTTCCAAGTAAAAATAAAAAATTTCTTTGATCAAAGCTGTCAATTGAGCCATCTCTGCTAAGTCCATCAATTTTTTTGCAACTATTGTGGGGATTGAGGTAACCTTCCATTTCTGTGCGTAGAATAGTCTTGGCTGCTGTCAACATATATAAAATCAAAGTTCCTCAATTCCCCCTCCTTCTTTTTCCATTAAACCCAACAGAAAACTCTCCAGTTTTCTCTTCATATTCACTTAAAGAATTTTCTGTATTTAAGGTATGAATCCTAATCCACCAATATATATTTTTTTTTGCTTTCTTACATGTCCACCATAAATGATTTTTAAAAATCCCTTCTTTTACATTTACAACGTTCATTTC